CCTCGTCGTCAATGCTTGTCATCGCCAGGCCGTTATCCGGCAGATCAGTAGGTCGCTGGCAGTTGATACGCCGTCCGGTGGACGAACTTTCGAAACAACACGTGTATCACACGTGGCACATGCATCGCCGATCATAGACTATGGATCCTACGACACGGGGGCATCTGGCTGCTCGCGGAACGGCGCGAAGAGCTCGCCAGACTCGTATTCTTGCAACAGCTTCTTCCAGCGAAGTCGAGCAGTGTCCAAATTGCTAATAGCTGGCCGCACATCTAGGTTGAAGCTGGCCTCGTTTTCATCGGATTCATCCTCCCGCGAGTAATAGTCAATGATGTAGCGTACTTCCTCGCCGTCGGGATGACTCTCTGAGGGGCCACGACGCACTATCCAGTCATGGCGGTCGAAGGGAGGCTCTGAGCTAAACTTGGAGGGCATGGCCCACGCCAGCCACCCGTACATTCGTGCCTTGGGCGTCAGTGTTCCAGGCTTGCCCTGGAAGCGTGCAAGCTGCAGCTTGGACACATCACTGCCGGCCATCTTCTCCCATTCCACAATTTCTTGCCACGCACGTTCATTGAGGAAGTTGTGAATAAGCACCATCATATCGACACTCTCCTCCGGCGTTTCCCAGCCCTTGCGCACAAGCGCATTGTAGAACTGTTGTGGCGAGGGGTACTCCCAGTACCCTGGAGACTCTTCATTTTGGTTCGTGTGATCCACCGGGCAAGACGAGGACTTAAGCCTTTCCCGGGATTCATGCGGAATGGGGCACTGCGCCGCCCCATAGGGCGAGTCACCTGGTGCAGCAGACGTGGGCGCTCGTGGAATCGATGAAACTACTCGCTCTCGCGAAAGATCCATTGTCTGGCTGGGAGCGCGGTCTTGCGTGAGTTCGGGCATATTGTTTAAAGGATTGAGCTCGGCGCTTGGCGCCATTGCCCCGCGCCGACCGTGGTGCGGAATTGGGCATACAGCCTTCGTCGCGCCGCCCTGGTCCTTTGAATTTGTCAATGCGAGGCGATGATGATGCAGCAGCAAGCCGGCCACAGCATCCTGATTGTTGTATGGGCGTAGATATCCCTCAGCACCTTGCGAGGTCGACTCTGCAGCGCCCATGCTAATTGCGACCAAGTGGACTAGTGGAACAAATCGACTTGACAGATCCACTTGGGCACGTGCGTTCAACAGGGATATACTCGTATCTACGGATTAAGGGTAAGGCCAATTCCAGACATGGGCGACAAACCGCGCCATGTCTGCAGTAGGAATCTGCTCAGCACGCAGAATGAGCGGATGATGGAGCAGGCATCGCGGCCCAATACGCGATGCGCCATCGCGAACTAAACAGCGATCGACCAAATCACGCAAGGAGCGACTCCATTTTATACCTTGAGTTTGATCATCCTCGAGAGTAGGCAATGGTGAGTTTAGAAGATAGGTCAGAAGCTCGATAGGTCCCATATGAGGCTCACCATCAGCGGTAAAAGGATACCGATTGAGAGCGAGCTCTAATATGGTCACACCGAGAGACCAAACGTCCGAAGTGATGGTATATGGTTGCCCCATGATTCGCTCAGGCTGCCGTCAGAAGATTATACATACAGCCATATAAGTACAAGTGCCAGTAAAGGTGCCTGCCACACTGTTAATTAGTTCACCAGAGACACCAAAGTCGCATAATTTCATCTGTCCGTCTCGCGTCACGAGTATGTTACTGGGTTTGACGTCTCGGTGAATGATACGCTGTTGATGTAGATACTCGAGACCCTTCAGTATCGACTCGGCGAGTTTTGCGAGCACTTTTTCTCCAACACGACCACCACGCCCTTTCACACGACGATAAATAGAGTCCATGCTTCCAGCTTCACAGAACTCCATGCAAATAGTAATACTTGCACTTTCGGGCTCAAAGAAGGCACCATAGTACTGCACAATATAAGGACTGTGACAGTTTTTATTGATATTCAGTTCACGAAGCAGTTGGCGATGGATCGTGGGATCTGGAGAAGTAGCAATCGTCTAATGTTAGCAATGAGTCACATACCTTGCGTGCGACAATTTGACCCGTAGTCTTTATGTACGCCTTGGCCACTTCACCACTCGCACCCTCGCCCAAAGAACATATCACCTCTAGATTATCCCGTATATCCATCATCGAAACATGCGAGGAGTTGCTTGATATGTCGGAGTCTTGGGACATACCGCGCTGCATAGCAGTCGAAGAAGAGCTGTCCCAAGAGTTCACATTAAATCGCTCAATGGATGAATCTGAATCTCTTTTTAAATTACTGTTGTGTTGTTCGTATGCATTACTGAAATCTTTGACATTCATTTGATCCAAAACACGTTTGATCTCATCCATGTAAGTATCCATATCTCCGGCTCTCATATTCTGGCAAGCTGGTGGCATGATTGTGGCTTCACCAGCACTTGGCGGCCCCCCCTCAGCATTTTCTGGTGACTGTGCTGTATTGTTAGTGAATCGAATACTCACATATAGCCAGCGAAAGTTTGGGCACCCCGGGGCGACTGCGGCGCTTGGGCGGGATCAATGAGGCCATGGTGGTGGCCTCTATGCTGCCGTGAACTAAGTTCCGCGACCTCCACATTCTCGATATCTGAGCGCCTGGGACGGCCGAGCCTTTGGCACCATGCCCCTCTTAGAAACCCTCCTTGGTCGATCTACAACCCCTGCTGAGCGGCTCCGACAACATCTTCGATCGCTGCAACGTGCACAAAGGGAGCTTGAAAGGGAACGCTCAAAGCTTGAAGCTCAGGAAAAGAAACTGGTGAGCGATATTAAACGTAATGCACGCCAAGGCCAAATGGTACGAACTGACACGCTGACACTAGCCGGCTTGTAAGGTCATGGCCAAAGATCTCGTAAGAACGCGGAAGAATATCCAAAAATTTTACCGAATGAGTACCCAGCTCCAGGCCGTGGGTCTCCGGATGCAAACACTGCGTAGCTCACAGCAAATGGCAGAGGCTATGCGCGGCGCGTCTCGGGTATGTGACTGCATGCTAACCAAAGTCACTTGCATCTATGAATCGATCTATGAATGTCATGTCTGTTCAGCGCGTTCTCCAAGAATTCGAACGCGAGTCTAGCGCTATGGATATGAAGGATGAAATTATGAATGATACGATCGAGGATGCGATGGGAATGGAAGATGATGCCCTAGGTGATGGTATTGGAGAGAACGAAGAAAGCGATGCTATATTGCGAGAGGTTCTGGACGAAATCGGGGTTGACCTTAGCCAACAGGTATGTGTTGTATAACTGACCGAAGCTCCGCAATGTACCTGAGAGCAGCATTTCTGCAAATACCATCGACAATCAATCAAGAATAGCTCTTAGTGAAGGAGATTCAGATGCTATGGGAAGAGAAGATATGGCTTTGCAAGAGCGACTGGACCGCTTGCGCAAAACAGGTTGATAACAGCCACATGGACTAGTAGTAGGTAGCCCCGATTTAGTAGATCGGCATTTTCTCACAGCACCCCACAGTGCATGGTCCTTCGACAAGAATACTCAATTCCATTACAAAATATGGATGAAGGGGCCCAAATTTTCCATTCAGGTTCCAGCAGTCGAAAACACTGTCGTCATGCTATTTCCTTTTTCTTATTAGGGTTGCTCAACAACATGATGTATGTCGTCATCTTGACGGCAGCTCTAGAACTCCTTCCATCGCAAGTCCCTACAGGACTGTTAGCATTTGTGAATATCACTCCTGCACTTATTGCCAAAGCTGTTTTTCCATACTGGCTAAAGGGTGAAATCAAGTACAGAAGTCGAGTATGGGTGTGCACATTTATGGCTTTTATCGGAATGCTGGTATGTATATTGCGACTTACTCTAGACAATTGCATACATGGACTCTCTTTTCATTCGACTCATGGGTATTGCTACTTCTAGCTTCGCTAGTGGTCTTGGTGAAATCACTTATTTGCAATACGCAACACGCTTCCCTCACGACATTACTACCTACTCAGTGGGTTGGTTCTCGTCCGGCACAGGTGCGGCTGGTCTAGTAGGCGCATCCGCCTGGTGGATGGTCCGCCCATTGGGCGTCAAGTCTGGACTAAGCATTTTGGCGTTTTTTGCGTATGGCACAGCATTGGCTTTTTTTGTGATCTTGCCTCACCCTCATCGTCATCTGAGCGAGCGCGCAAGTACAGATGATACCCAAGAAGCTCTTATGACGCCTCGAGCTGAATTTAATGAAGAGGAGAGATATAATGAGACCAATTCACTGTCTTTCGCACATAAAATGCGTTTACTCAAACCTATGCTTGTTCCGTATGTAATACCCTTGACGTGTGTATATTTTGCCGAGTACACCATCAACCAGGGCGTGTCACCCACTCTCTTGTACAATATTCCTGACCCTCACAAGCATCCTCTCCTTTCCGTTGCTCTCAAAAACTTGCGTGACTACTACCCGCTGTATCAACTTACGTATCAAACATTTGTCTTTATATCAAGGTCCTACACATCTATTTTCCCTCTCCCGGCGATACCAACCAGGTGGATGTGGACTCCAGCTGCTGTGCAATTCACTCTATTGTTTCTTCTTACTTCTGAAAGCATATTCTCTTGGTTCAAGGATTCTATTGCTCGCTCCCTTGTCATTGTGCTGGTTGCCATCGAGGGACTAGCGGGTGGTTCCGCCTAGTACGTCTATTATGTTACTGCTAATTTTCAGTGTTTCTGTTATGAGCCGTATCGGAGGGTCAGACCGGCAGAGCAGCGGTCACAATGTACAAATTCAAAACCAAGAATATGAATTCCGAATGGGATCTGTTAGTGTATGTTGAACCATGTTTCTTATTAAGCAGCTTGGAGACTCCCTCGGTATTGTGTTGGCTTCTATTGTGTCGATTCCAATGCAAGTGGCTTTGTGTGCTGCCCAAGTCCAACGCGGCAAAGACTTGTGTACACGAATATAGCATTTTTGTTTATAGTGAGCTCGGTTGAATGACGACGCACAGTTGGTCCGTTCGTATAGTGGTTAGTATAGTGGATTTTGATATTACAATATTCCATTGACCCCGGTTCGAACCCGGGACGGACCTTACGTTTTTGCCATTTTATATTTAAAGGCGTAACTAAGATGGGTTAACGACTACATCGAGTTACGAATTTGGTTGAACTTGGCTTCCATTGCTTTGGAGATTTCCTGGTACACTTGTTCAACAGGATTCTTGGCATCCACATCAATCACCTTGTTTTGAGAGCGCTGGTAATCGACCACTGGCATACTCGTCTCCACAAACGTGCCTGAATGTTAGCCTAGAGCACTTACGGAATCGCTTTTTAATCGACTCGATGTTGTCATCAGACCTTCCGCTCGTCTCACCCCGACGCAGCAATCGCTCAAGCATGATCTCCTCCGAACATTGAAGGAAAAGAACCATCTGGGCAGGGCATACACTTTCTTCAAACTTGTGGGATTGATCAAGTTTGCGAGGGAAACCATCGATCAAAAAGCGACCTTTACCATCACCCCAGCCCTCACGCTGAGAAGTCTCGTTTTCACGCAAGGCCTGCTGAATGGCGTTCCTTAAGAGTGAAATGGTCACTTCCATGGGGACAATTTTTCCCTCTTTGATATAATCAGCAATCATCTGACCATATTGAGATCCTGGGCGAGCCTGCTCAGCTCGCAGCAGATCACCTGCACTCAGATGAACGAAACCATAGTCTTGCACAAGATGGGCGCAATGCGTGCCTTTACCAGCACCAGGTCCACCGAGCACAAACACTACAACCACTTTCTTGGGGTCGTATTCAAAAGAAGTCATGATAATTATTCTTTCTTAAGAGTAGGAACAAGAGGGTTCGGGTAAGGGATACGTTTTTCGCGACTCTCTTTCCTAGGGTCAGATTCGCGAACTTTCACGATATAGGTCAGTGCACCGAAAGACAGAGCACCCAAAAGAAGGAAAGCTAGAGGGTTAGGTCCTGATTTATTTGAGCGAGTGTTGTTTTGACGAGAGGCTGCAAGGACGCGAGAGCTTACACTAAACTGCCTGCGTACAAACACTCTAAACATCCAGTGTCGGCTAGGTGTAGTCGGGCGGTCTGCCATATTTATGCCTGATCACATAATACCCATTTATCCCCATCGTGAATCACCGTGACATCGCGATCTAGATAGGACCTGTGACATGTCCTCGCCTTACAGCTTCAAACCAGGTGGCGCTTTGAAGCTGAAGGGAGATAAACCAAAGTATGTTGAAATAAGTCCTGACTTATGAGCAGAAAACGAAAATCTAGCACATCTAACAATGTACGCTCGTCGTTGGAAAGCAGCATACGTGCTCGGTCTACCTCCGAAGAATCTCAAGAGAATCCCAAACGCCCTGTGATGTCTCATGGAACGACGAAGGCGGAACAAAAATTCGAAGAAATTCAACGCAAGAGGGTATGTATAGATGAGGTCTCACTCTCTAGTTACATGAACAGGCTCGACGTGAAGCGCGAAAAACGCACAAAGAGAAGGTGGATACATTCAATAAGTATTTGGACTCTCTCAGCGAGCACCATGACATGCCTCGCATCGGCCCTGGCTAAAACTATGAAAATTACTTTTAGATATCATGTCCGCTCAATACCATTTTGAAAAAGTTACCCTGTACTTTAGCCAGCTATCGGCAGTGTTTTTCTTTCAAGCTGCAGGAGCCCAAGACGGGAAACAGTCCTTTACCGTCTGTGTGAGACTGTCGTGCGACGAACCTTGCCGTGCTTGTTTTCCGCATGCTGAGCCAAACTTGTCGTTAGCCCACTTATAGAACTTACGCTGGCTCTCTGACAGTTTGAAGGAATGTCTGACGACACGTAACACAAATCACACTCTTGGCAGCTTCGTTCGCTTTCAATTGGGACTTGGCCTCTTTAGGTCCACCAGATTTAGCATTCCGCTCCCGCTTCTGTTGCGCTCTTAAATTATGTTAGAGTATGTATGGTATAATTTCGTACCGAGCACCGTTACCCATGTTACTCCAGAGATCCAAAAGTCAAGCGACGTCACCCCATTTCAGCTCGTGTGGGCCATGGCCTTGAGGAGCCTGGTTGAATTTTCGGCCGAACATCTACCCTCGGGCCTCGAGCCGGTCCCACATACCACCAACGCCTGCGGTCGGACCAATTCAAGTATGTCGTCCTCGGGGCAGCGCGAGGCCGTTTTTCCGACGCGTATGACGTTGGGAAACACGAAGCAGCGATTGAAAGGTGCTCAAAATGGTCACTCTCTTTTGAAGCGAAAGGCAGATGCCCTTTCAAAACGTTTCCGCACCATCACGTCCAAGATCCAGGACGCCAAGAAACAAATGGGAACTGTGCTCCAAGTGGCAGCCTTTAGCATGGTCGAAGTTGGGTATGCTACGGGTGACATCGGCTATGCGGTTCGTGAAAATGTCAAGCGTGCGACCTTCAAGGTCCGCTCGCGCCAGGAAAACATTAGTGGTGTACTGTTACCCGCGTTTGCAGTACAGTCATCTACATCTGCTGAATCGAAGGCTGATGGTGATGCTGAGAGCTCTAGTGCGGCACCCACAGAGTTTAGTCTCACTGGTCTGTCACGAGGTGGTCAGCAAGTGCAAAAGGCACGCGAAACATACACTAAGGCCCTCCGTGTTCTTGTGGATCTGGCAAGTCTGCAGACGGCCTTTGTTATCTTAGACGAAGTGATTCGTCTAACTAATCGTCGAGTCAACGCCATTGAGCATGTTATTATTCCTCGCTTGGAGAACACTATTGCGGTATGTATGACCAGATCTTATGTCCAGTACATTGTCTCTGAGCTCGATGAGATGGATCGGTATGTGGTACCCGTTGGACTGACCAAAGTGAGGAATTCTTCCGTCTTAAGAAGGTTCAAGGCAAGAAGAAGCGTGCCCCCACCGATAAAAAACCAACAGGAGAAGAGGAGGCACGCGGAAAGCCAGCGTCGTCGTCGGTGGAGCCAGCTGCGGAAGCAGGCGATATGCTTACGGCGGATAAGGACAATGATGTGATTTTCTCATCATGTAAAACATAGATCCTAGCCATACCAATTTACAGAGGCTAGATAGCAAAGTCATCTACTTCAAACTCATCCGGGGTCGTAGCCTGTAGCGGTGAGTCCATGGTAGATGAGGTCGTTTGAGATCCACGCCTGTGAGCTTCCGGTGTCAAATAGAGCGAGTCCGGCGAGCGTCGAGAGACAGATGTCGGTGAAGTTGTAATATTATCTTGATTCGGTGGTGATTGCGGTGGGGGCGTCTTTGTCACATAGCTAGAGCTTGCATCTGGTGACTTGGATGTATCTGGGGTGGGATATTCTAACTCGGGGCTCTTCAGGCCCGGATCGGGGGTATCATTGCGACTGCTAGCCCGAGACGAGGGTGGTCGCGGAATATCTTGTAGCACTGGAATGCTATTCCTTTCGCGCCGCTCACGTCTTCGGTCTTCCCGCGCGGCCACAGTAGCAAGGGCAGCAGCAGTAAGTTCACCGGTGTGTTCGCGTTTTTCTCCTCCCTGCAGTTGGGCAAGCATTTCTGCAGCTTTCGTCGACGGATGCTCGGGCAGTTCCTCAGCTTCTGACTCGGCCACAGTTCGCAAATCTGTGGTGGAAGGTCGCGCGCGCCTACGCTGGTTACGTTTCTGACGTGGTGTTCCACCACTAGTGCGCAAGGAAGTCAGTAGAGACTCAAGCACAGCACTGTCATCGATGCCAGCTTCCCGCCGGGCGCGTGCTTCTTTGAGTTCTTTCTCACGTTCTTCCGCAGCGAAACGACGTGCAGCTTCTAGTGCACGTTGCTGCGCCAAGGTCGCATTGTCCGTCTTTGCTTTTCGGTACGCAGTTAAAAACTCCTTGAAGATGCCAAAGAATTCTTCTGTCGACATAGACTTGGCTCCTGTGAGACTCCTCCGAAGCGGATCTGGGCCTTCACCATAGTAGCGCAGTGCCTCAGTAAAAACACGCTCAGTATATTGCGTTTGGTCGGATAGACGCTGGAGCTCTGCCGTGGCTGTGCTCAGGAAAGGCAACATGAGCTTGCTGTAAGGATCCTCCATATTCTCCTCATTTTCACCTAGTAGGCGATCCAGGTCTTTCTTGTGTTGTACATTGGCGGATTTGAGCTCGGCCAAATCGTGTTTCAAGTCAAGTAGCTGAACCCGACAAGCTTCAGTTGCTAGGGATATTTCATCAATAAAACCTTCCAGCTCCGGGAATTGATTAGATACTGCCCGTTCCACAAAGTGCAAAAGAGTAGTTCCATCGGTCGCCTTCGTATCAACGAGCTTGTTTATGCTGCTGATCTTGAAGCCGTAAGCACCACCCTTGATACCGGTAGCATTCAGATAATTTCCAAAAAGAAGAACCACACTCAGAAGTTTAGCGAAGTTGGGCGCATCCATAATAGCCTCGGCACCATCTCGAATTTTATTCAGTCCATTTCGAATGAGGTCCACCGTATCCTGGTATTTCGTCTTGTACAGCATTCCCTTCACCTTATCTTTCAAGTGCGGGACAGTCATCAACAGGACAACCAGGCGATCGGCGGGGTGCAAAAGGCGGAGCTGCTCGTCTGAAGCGTTCTTATATTCTCCCAAACGACCCTTGGTTTCTGATTCCGGATAATAGCGAAGCAACTCTGTCAAGAGGCTTTGATCAAACACCTGAGGATCACACTGTATGATCAAGTGAGCAAGTTCTTCAGGGGTACATTGCTTGTTGCCAGTCAAACGACTCTTGAGACGCTTGAGCACCATCTCTATACCTTGACGAGTGGCATAATTGAGATAGGTCTGCAGCTCCTTGTTGTCCCTCTTTACAGATTGGACCTTCTTGGATGATTCTTTGGCTTTAAATTCTTCATCCATTTCACCAAACAGACCATGCTGCAAAATTGTGTTGCGAAGCAGCATTTCAGTTTGAGATGCCTTATCCCAAACCGTGCTAGAAGCGTGTTCGGCGGATAGTTTATCCCACTGAAGCTGCTTCATGCGTGTTTTGGCCATATCAAGGACATGCTTACGCATATTGGACGTCATGGGAGCTGCACTCGATGGAGCAGGAGGTGCATGA